GGTCAACCAGCTGAGCCACCCAGGTGCCCAACTGACCTATACTTTTGAGACATGTGGAGTTCAGGAGAGACAAAGAAAGGCTGAAAAACTGTCACAGATTAGAAAATACTAGAGACATGACAACAAAATGCATGCAGTGTAGTATCTTGGGTGGGATCTTGGAAGAGATTTTTTTTTTTTTTAATGCAGTGGGGAAACTGGTAAAAATCTGAATAGAGTCTATAATCATTTGTATTATACCAATGTGAATTTCTTGGTTTTGATAAATATATAAACTGTTGACATTAGAGGAAGCTTGGTGGATAGCATGTTGGACTTTATACTATTTTTGCAACTCTTATGTAAGTCTAAAATTCTTTCTAATTAGAAAGTTAAAAAAAAACCACACAGAGTATTTCCCAAGTACTTATAAAATAGCTCCAACTTCTTTAGCATGACATTCAACATCCCTTGTGGTCTGACCTACTTGTCACGTCTGTCTCCCATCACTGCTCATAACACACCCAAGGTTTCAGCTATATTACACGTCTTACTTTGTACCACTTTTTATAAGCATACACACACACACACACACACACACACTCATATACACTCACTCAACACACATGAGGCCCACAGACAATTGTCTAATTTTGCCATTAATGGACATAGGGCTAAATTTTGGGTTCCCTGATTCCTAAACCATTGTCTTTATTGAATCAATATGATCCCAGTCTGCTCACTGGGACACCCAAGTTATGACATATGACATGTCATAGCTAAGTCAAGACAGTCAACTTAATTTTTCCATCAGCTTAATTGAACACTTTGATGGGGAGTAATACCCTATAATGGTGTATGTCACACATGGAATTAAGGACTTTGAACTCATTCATTTCAAATGCAAACACTGCAATCAATTCTCATGAAGCCAAAAACAGGCACACTTACGCACATTTACAAAGGGCATAGTTCTGCTTTTATCAGTCCCATTACAATCCTGTCTAAATCCTAAAGTGAAAATGAATGTCACAGGGAAAAAACTACTGGTGCATATAAAACAGCCTGGCCTAACTTTTTAATATATTCACAAACAGGGATTTCATTCTTTTATTAGTAGTTAGGAAAGGTTGCATTAATATTCAGTAGTTAAAATGTGCCGTTCTAAATTTTTCATAATTTCCCATGGGGGAATAAATTTTTTGGAAAATATTCCCAGTAGGTAAATGACTTTAATAACACAGTGTCTGTAAAGATGGCAAATAAAATGGCTCGTAGATTTAGGCTTTGGCAAACAGTTGAAATAACTCTTCCTTTATAGACAAGTGTTAGCCCTGCTCATTGAAGTTGATCGAGATTGGTTAGCATCTGTACATAAGTGTGTATTAATTTTTGGGGTCCTATTCACTTTTAGGGTCCCAAAATCCTTTCTTGAAATCTTTCAAAGGTGACGCCTTAGTAGAAAGAGCAGACAGTACAGGCAGATAGGCTTGAGGAAACTGAAGAGCTCTGAAATAAAAGAAATGAAGACGCTAAATGAAATTCTGGGTTTCCAAGAGCGCCTAAGTGGCTCAGTCGCTTATGCATCTGACTCTTGATTTCAGCACAAGTCATGATCTCAGGGTCATGAGTTCAAGCCCCATATTGGGCTCCACGCTGTGCATGGAGCCTACCTAAAAAAATAAAATAAATAAATATGTGAATAAATAAATAAATATAAGCACCTTTGGGGTGCCTGGGTGGCTCAGTTGGTTAAGCAACTGACTCTTGGTTTCTGCTCAGGTCATAATCTCAGGGTCATGTGATCGATCTCAGGCAGGCTCCATGCTTAGCAGGGAGTCTGTTTGAGATTCTCTCCCTCTGCCCATCCCCCCATTCATGTGTGTGCTCTCTCTCAAATAAATGAATTAATCTTTATTAATAATAAAGTGTACCACTTATTTAATCTTCATTTATCTGAGAGAGAGAGTGCGGCAGGGAGGGACAGAGGGAGAGGGAGAGAGAGAGTGTCCAAGTGGACTCCCCCCTGAACACAGAGCCCACCCCGGGCTCAATCCCATGACCCCTGAGATCATGACCTGAGCTGAAACCAAGAGTCAGTCACTTGACTGACTGAGCCACCCAGGCACCCCTAAATAAATAGATCTTTTAAAAAAAAGGAAGAAATTCTGGGTTTCCAATCTCTCTTTTTCCTTTCTCTCTTGGTTGTGGAGATAAAGAGTGACCAACAACCTCTATTTTTATTTTATTTTATTTTTTTTAAGACTAGCAACTTGATGTTGCAGAAGGGGAAATTTCTTAATCGAGTGAGGAGAAGAGCTACTAAAGCCATGGAAGCAGGCAAGCAAACAGCAAGACAGAAAGGACTGCAATCCTGTCAAAAGCTTGTCTTCATGGGGTGCTGGAGAGCACCATGGTGCAAGACCATAACACCACATTGCCTGGCCAGAAAGAATTACAGCAAATACACACAAAGCTCATGATGGACTCTTTCCTAGAATTTTCTCACAATCGGGTAAACAACCCTTTCCTTGACAGTGCCATGTCTAAGGATTCCAAACTTTTGAAGTAGGAGCTATTTTTCTGTCTCCCAAAGTCCTGAGGTAGATTTGTAGATCTGGATGCAAGGGGCTGGCAGTTGCCAGACAGGCTCACATTCATGGGCAAAAACATCAGAGAAGGTATATGGGAAAGATTTGGGGACTGCCCTCCCCCAACAAATCCCTTCTCTGATGGAGAGGTCAGCAGAGTACATGAAAACAGCAACTGTCCTTAAAGCAGTAAAATGAGGTTATGGAAACATATATATTGGGGGAATGTGAAAATAAATCAATGAAAGCGATAGGTGGATAGACCAACAGTGACTAATCTACATTTATAGAAAAGGTTCTAGACTTATATAACCATTGTATTAACGGTGCTTATCTCTGACCACTGGGATTGTGGGTTGCTTCATTTTAATTATTTTTGATTCTGTTGAGCACTTACTTTTTATATGTCTCTCAGGTAACGTTGGAAAGTCATTGGAAGCTCAAGCTCTAGGCAGCATCTTTCCTAGGAAAAAGATTAAACCAAATGAAATGTTCCTCCTGGATCTAGGATTTTGTTACAGAACACTAAAGAGGGAACAACAACAACAAAAAAAATCAAACAGGGATCTGGGTACCTTGCGAAGTACTTTTATTAAAAAGAAGAATGAGATTTTAGCATATATTTCTGTAGAAATACTGATTTTATTTGACAATTACCTTCCAAATATTTACATACGACCTTCCTTTATTATTTTAATCACTCTTTTAAATGAGACTATAAAAATTACAAATGAATTGCTTTACTGTAAGAACAGCATTATACCTTACATTAATGGAACTCTAAATAAGGAAGAAAATATTAACCTTAGTTTTATTTTAGAGATATTTGTTAACTTACATCTGAGATTCGGTTAAACCAACTGTTGTTCCAAGTTGCCTTTACTAACCTCAACCTCTAAAAAATGTATAGTTGAGTACCATGATCTCTTGCATAAATGGTAAGATAAAGCATTGCTTTATGGTAAATTTATTCAGAGATCTGATTCCTCACAAATAGTGTCTGTCATTAGGACTTCTGAACCAAAAGCCCATGCCTACCACTCAGACACACAGGCTCACGAGTACCCACAGCCTGGCAATAGGAAGCAAATGCTACATTCCCACTATCTTAATAATTCAGATTTTGTGGCAAATGTGCAAAGTGTCTGGCTCCCATCTGCTGTAGGGAACTTGACAGTTCTGAAATACATAATGACTTCTTTCTTTGAAATTAGCCTCAAAGGACGTTACGTATTTCAACTGGATACTAACAAACCGATAGCTTTGAACAAATTCCTTCCTTTTCCTGGAAAGGTCACACTACAGAATGTTAAGATCTCTTAACCTCCCAACTGTTGGGGCCTCAACATTAGAGTCTTTGCCCAGTGTAAACCTGCAAGCTACAAATTTCTATTCATTTCTAAAGCAAGAACGAAAAATAGAATAGTAAATAGAGATAAATGTATGAATGAATGATGAACATAAATGCTTCTACATAAGAAGGATTCGGATCTAAATATTATTCGGGTTTCTCTTGAGAACAAGGCTCAGGAACTCCAACATGCTAAATATTCGAGAGTGTTCTCAGCACCTGTGCTCCCAAGTCCGTGTTGATATGAGTGCTGTCTCCATATGTCCCTGTTAAGATATTTATTATAAAGGCTGGAACACAGAAGGCTCTCTTGTTAAATAAATACAATAATGTAAATATACTTAGCTATAATAGGTAAGCCCCCAAACCCTGTAAACCATACCAGGAGAGGAATCTAGAATGCAGGGCAGGAGGCAAAGCCATGGCATGTTCCGGTTTTTACCCCAGATCGAACTTTGAAAATTTCAGTGCAAATTCACTCCAAGGAGAAACTGTATGAAGCACAGACTCATTTATTTTCTGCTGATGAGCACAGCCATGTGAACAGCTGATCAAGTCATCTCCCTCTGCAAAAGGGTGCCAGCAATGTAGTTATGAGTTTCAGTTCCAAATTTCAAAACCACCCTATTTGCTAATGCAATTGTAGGTTTGTTGCCATTGCACGCAGCTAAATATATAAGTGACTCTGTTCTATCTTTTTTTGTCTTACTTAGCAGGAATGGCAAGGAAACGTGCTCTGCCGACCAGAAAAAAAAAAAAAAAATGTTTGATATATCCATTCGGGAAATGAATGCAATGCGAGGTGATATGAGAATTTCTGGAGAAATGTCAAAAATCCTTAACAAAAAAAGAGGATGCTGAGTATGTGTTTTGAAATCTGGCTGAGTGAGGAGGGCTGGCAGCAGAGTTTTCGGCTGGCGCCTACTGAGGCTCTACAAAGAAGTCTCCTCTGTGGCCTGTTGACAATGACCCTGTGCTGGTACCATTTTCGGGATCTCAAAGCCTTCAAGATGGTCACATAGGGTATGGCATCTATTACAAATTTTTGCATTCTAGCCCTACAATGGCTCTTAAAGAGATGAAGCCTACAGAGAGGAAGGCATACATGATTTGCCAGGTCCAATGCAAAATGGAAATTCTTAATAACTTTTGAACATTTTTTAAAAACAGCAAATGCAGAGCATTAAACCAAGCCCTGGATCCTTCTAAGCAGAGGGCCCTATGTGACCACACAGGTCACACACTCATGAAGACAACTCTGCCTATACTTCACCCCAAGAATCCATTGTGATTTCTCTGATTTTAGTCCCCTCTCAACTTCTTGCATAGAGACAATGTATGCTCACGCATGTGTGTGTGTGTGTGTGTGTGTATGTGTGCATGTGTGTGAAGAACCCAGGAAATGCATTTTGAAAAAAGAAGCAGAGAACACTGATTCTCATTTACTCAGTCTCATTAAGCTCACTGCTGGATTTCCTGAGTCCTTGGACTCCTGAGCCAAAGCATGAGGCTCCTTTAAATTCTTACTGTAGGGCGCCTGGGTGGCTCAGTTGGTTAAGTGACTGCCTTTGGCTCAGGTCATGATCCTGGAGTTCCGGAATCGAGTCCCACATCGGGCTCCCTGCTCAGCAGGGAGTCTGCTTCTTCCTCTGACCCTCTTCCCTCTCATGCTCTCTGTATCTCATTCTCTTTCTCGCAAATAAATAAAATCTTTAAAAAAATTTAAAAAAATAAAAAAAATAAATCCTTACTGTAGATTATTTTTCAAACATAAAATATTGCCTTAAACATAATAATATCAAATGCTTACATTCATAATACAAAAAGAATATTGAAAGGAGAAATGTTAGCATTTTTACTTAAAGGTATAATAAAAATACAGGGAGGTTAGGCATGAAATATTATAAAATATGAAATGCTAGGAGTACTTTCATTAATATTAACAATTACTATTCTGAATTTAACAGGGTATGATTAGTAATTGAATTGTTTAAATTAATGCTACAGCATAATAGATTCAGAATCTATAAATAATGTAAGTTTTTTTAATTATTGATATTTTCTTTAAAACCTAAATTACCCAAAGATGTTGCCAATGATCCCATGTTGCTGGACCTGGTTTTAATGAGGAGTATCTCCAGAACATTGCTTAGGGAAATTCTCTACGAATAAATAAATACAAAGAAGCAAAATGCCTCAGAGAAAGAATGAAAAGCAAATGGACATTCAATGACATCTAAGCAAGGTTAATTTGTACCCAATTTGTGGCTTTAACACGTGCGGCTAGCGCCACCTATAGAAAAACAAGGAAAACTGTCCTGACAGCCACTAGGCTTGTTTCTGCAACAATTGAACTGGATCAAACATCACAACGGAATGAGTCAGCATTTTAGTGAAAAACTGTGGTCTTTGTTCAGTAAACAAAGAGCACTTCTCTAATGAGCCTCAGTGCTGAGCTACTAAAGATTTATTGGAAATGGAAAACGTGGTATATTATCAAGGCTGCTTCTAAGTCTTATCTCAGCCTATTATAAGAGAAAAACACGAGTGAGACAAGCATAACAATTCTACTGGAAAGGGAAAGAGTATTGAGCCTTTTATTGTAATTAAGATACCACACTGCTTGTTCTTTTCTTTTCTGACTCATTTAAAAATATTTTGGGGGGCGCCTGGGTGGCTCAGTTGGTTAAGCGACTGCCTTCAGCTCAGGTCATGATCCTGGAATCCCAGGATCAAGTCCCACATCGGGCTCCCTGCTCAGCAGGGAGTCTGCTTCTCCCTCTCCCACTCCCCCCTCTTGTGCTCTTTCTCTCTCTCACTCTCTCAAATAAATAAATAAAATCTTTAAAATATATATATATATATATATTTTGGGGACATCTGCTTTCTGCCAAGTACTTGAAAATAAAATACTCTGTCCTCAAGGTGCATTCAACCTAATTGGAATAATATACACATATGTATATAAATAATGGAATACAGAATAGGAAGTGGTAAGTATCAAAGACTCATGGCTCAGATAAAACCTGTAGTACCTAGACAAGGTACTTCCAGCTGGAATATCTGAGAAAGCTGCATGGGAAATTGTATGTGAGCTGGACTTTGAAGAAAGAATTTGATTGGGACAGAAGGGAAAAGCAGGAAGATACAATTTGTATATGAAATAAAGCAGAGAGAGACGCAATTGGGAGGGTACCCGGGAACCAGATCATAAGGAATCCTGAATAGCGAAGACTTGCATAGTGTCTGCATGTGCCATGTACCAGTCCACAAGCTTCCTATAGATTAACTCATGTCATCCTCGGAACGGTCATGAACAGGTCAGTACGATATTTAATATCTCAGTTTTACAGATAAGAAACTGAAATACAGTGAGGCTACCTAACTTGACAGAGATTACATAGCTAGGAAGGTTGGAACCATGTTCATCACCACCCCCACCACTACAATTACTATTACTCTTGCTCAGAAGGAGTTTGAACTCAATTCTGTCCAAGATGAAGAAAAATGGAACAGTTCCTGTGTGTGTGTGTGTGTGTGTGGTTTTTAAGTAAATAAATGCTTTCACGAAAAAGGAAATAAATGCTCATTAAAGAGAACTCAAAAGATGGAGCAAAAAGAAGGGGAGAGACAAACATTGTCCCAGAGACAAACATTGTTCACATTTTATTCTGCTTTATTTCAGTGTGTTTTAAAACCTCATGATAACAAAGTAAAAAATAAAAGAGGGGCGCCTGGGTGGCTCAGTTGGTTAAGCATCTGCCTTTGGCTCAGGTCATGATCCCGGGGTCCTGAGATCAAGCCCCAAGTCAGGCTCCCTGCTCCCTCTCCCTCTGCCCCTCCTCCCTGGTCATACTCTCTCTCTCTCAAATAAATAAAATCTTAAAAAAAAATTTTTAATAAAAAAAAAAAGAAAAGAAAAGAGAGTTTAGGCTGGAAAGAAACAGCCTACCTCACCACCCCTGCTCCCTAGTCCCCACCCCCTCAGGCAGCCTTTTTCTAGATCTAACAATTGGAGGCAAAATCTATGGAATTCAAAATCTATGCTATTCCTTTGCTCTTAATGTTTGAAAATTACAATATTGCTTTTATATCTACTATTAGTTATCTTAATCATTTTAAATAATATAGTAGTCCTCTGCTTATTCTATCAGCTTGAGATGGTTCATTCTTTCCTTCGCAAAATGAGAATATTAATACCTTATTCATCCCTTCAACTGGCCTCCCTTGACCTTCTGCAACTGCACTTTTCCTTTTACAGTACAAGGCTGTTAACATTTATATTCTCTGCTGCAACTACAATCAAGTCTTTTATTCTTTGTATTTAGGTTGACTTCAAGAGCTAAAAAACCAATAAACAGCATTTACATTAATATGACTCTAAATAATTTTTTACTGCAGGGCCAAGTATAATGTTAGGATTATATTTTCTTTTTTACAAGCCCAATGTCACAACACTTGGGCCATGGAGAGGAGAATGATCTTGTATGAAGGTGAAATGGGTTCTCTTACACTCTATCAATTATGTTTAAAATCGTTGCATATTGTATTTTTCTTCAAATTTGGGTCACAACAGCTTGTGATCCTATTGTGATTTTGTTTGGGGGGATGGGTTTTAAACTGCCTTTTTTGGAGCCCTCTATACTTCTGTCTCAAGCTGGAATGTTTGTCTCCAGGCCTGTGGCATAGCTCTTATCCTGGATTTGCCTTCACTGCCTTCTTGGACTGGATCCACTGCTCCCTCTTGCCATCTCAAGTGGATCCAGCCTCTCTCTTGAGTTTCTCCCTTGTTTTTCTAGAGTATATCATCGTGAAACTTCCTAAGAAGTGAGATAGGGAAACTGAAGGACTCCACTAAAATCTGCTTTTTTTCCTCCCTTTCCTGCTTCTCTTCTTGCTAGGACAGGCACCCCCACTTTATACATACAAATAATGTATGTCCTCCTTGTAAGGAACAAGGTGTTAAAGATTTCTTTGGAGTCTTCCGGCACAATAGATAATATCTAGGAAATGACCAGGCAAAGATGACCAGGGGAAGCCATCTTATGTGTATTCCAGACCACCAGTGCTAGACATCTTGATGTCAAGACCCCCTGGCTTTAAGAAATAAGCGAGTTAGGGATGCTGAGTGGCTCAGTTGGTTAAGCGTCTGCCTTTGGCTCCTGTCATGATCTCAGGGTCCTGGGATTGAGTACTGCGTAGAGCTCTCTGCTCAGCCGGGAGCCTGCTTCTCCCTCTCCTCCCCGTTCATGCTCTCTCTCGCTATCTCTGTCTGTCTCTCTCAAATAAACAAATAAAATCAAAGAGAAAGACAGGAAGGAAGGAAGGAAGAAAGAAAGAAAGAAAGAAAGAAAGAAAGAAAGAAAGAAAGAAAGAAAGAAAGAAAGAAAGTTATAGAAAATACCTGGACCTTTACTTCATTTTGAATCTTCTTTCACAATTCCAGCCCATCTTTTTTCTGACATCTTTCTGACAGGAAAACATCATTGCTCAAATTGTATTTTCCTGCCATCCCATTTCATTGCCTGGGTGGTTGGCAACCTGCTCCAGGTCCATCATGCCCCTGGGAGGTGG